GGGGGGACCCTGAGGGTTGCGATCCGTTGCCGGACACGGAAAAAGAAAAAAAAAAAAAAGCGTCTAATTGGGTACTACATAAATATGGAAGAGATATAGAAGTTTCCTAGTTAGTCTAATCAAAGGGATTTTTATTTGCAACACCAACAGTCACCTGAGTCGTGACTCTGAAAATGTTGCCAAAGTTGTCCAACAATTTTGTTATTAATACCAAGACTGCACTTGTATTATCAACAAAATAGCCATCCAATTAATTTTAGGTTCAAAGTTAAGTGATAAACTAGAGAGAAATAATCAAGACAAATCTGTGCCCAAAGAATAGCAAAATTCAGACAACAGTAGCATGAAGAGACACACATTTCAAAATAAATGGCATAAAAATATCTAGAGAAATTTTTCCCCCGAAGAAAAAGGACTCCATGGTGATAAAGTACCAGCATCAGTTTCAAAATAATCTGCGATACACAGTCACCACCAGGAGTACCCACGTATGTCAGCTGTAGCAACTGTAAGATCTAAATGAATGAGAACGACTGAGTAGGTCTAAGTGAAGGCAACATCCCCTAAAAGTTTATAGGAAGGAATGCTCAGGTACTTGTACAAAGNAAGGACTCCATGGTGATAAAGTACCAGCATCAGTTTCAAAATAATCTGCGATACACAGTCAACACCAGGAGTACCCACCTATGTCAGCTGTAGCAACTGTAAGATCTAAACGAACGAGAACGACTGAGTAGGTCTAAGTGAAGGCAACATCCCCTAAAAGTTTATAGGAAGGAATGCTCAGGTACTTGTACAAAGTTTGTCTCTGATCTGAGCAATCAGATTACGAAAGACAGTATTTGCTTTCATCTGCTTTAAATATTGACATGGGAATCAGCAAATAGGTGATGCATTATTTTTGTATGGGTAGGAGAAAATTAGAGGGTTATAGGGTGAGCCTGAAATTGTACGTATCCAATTCTGACAGCACTAAGTACTAGTTCAAACTGATAATTATGAAGCTTACTCTGGAGTTGAGGGAGTAGCAAGAAGGTACCAGCCATGATCTCGGTCCAACGAGTGGCCCATTGTCCCCTAGGAAAGCTGCTAATCACACAATAGATGCTCCAGCCCTTGTCCCAATTTCTGGGAGGTTTGGAGCCAGTGTTCCTTCCTGATTACTTCTTTCAGAACTCTAAACCTTATAAATGTAATATCCTTTCCTTTAGGGAGCACCAGGCAGTCACCCTTCCTACTTCCTTTATACAACCTCTGACATCCCTCTGGTACTGCCTTAAGAATCTCAACTGCAGATTTGCTAGTCCCTGGCACATATGACATGACAGGTGGCATTTGACAATGATGGAGAAACTGTGAAATTCCCTGGCTAACATAGTATAATATGAGACTTTCAAAAAAATATTACCTGTTTAGGCTGAGCTCCCTTCGAGAGAATGTCAAGTAAGTCAGCAGAAGAGATGAAGTAGAAGCGAGGAAACGCTACACGCTTGGTTTCCAGGTATCCAGCAAGAGCTTTTTCACAAAGAGAAAGCCTATGAGAAGGAAAAATCTTTTTAAGCATATCTTGCCCAATCAGTCATTAAACTTGAACAAAACAAAACCCAGCTCCTGCCATGTGTTCCTTCAT